ATGGAACTTTGGGACTGGTGTGTAGCCAGGTCAGTGTCGATAACAGCTTTACACCTCCCGGGCGAGATCAACGTCGAGGCGGACGCACTCAGCAGAACCAGGGCAACCTCTCACGAATGGAGGTTGAACCCCGATGAACTGGCCAAGATCTTCAGGGATTGGGGCCTCCCAGCCGCAGACCTCTTCGCGTCACCGCAAAATGCTCAGCTCCCTCAGTTCGGTGCTCGGCTTGCTCCGAACACGGTACCAGGGTGTCTCGGAGACGCGTTCCTGTTGGACTGGTCGAGGCATCTGCTCTACCTCTTCCCTCCCTTCCCGCTCATCCCGAGGGTGATTGAGAGGATCCAGTCGGCGCAAACGAACTGCATCTTGATAGCGCCGGAGTGGCCACGACAACCGTGGTTCTCGGTCCTTCTCCAGTTATCCGAGGGACGGATGAGGCGCCTTCCACTTCGGCAGGATCTACTTTCCCGGGAAGATGATCAGCTTCTCCACCCCGACCTCGCTTCTCTGCATCTTTCGGCGTGGAGGATCCGGTCCTGAGGTCCCTGTGTCCAGGAGTTCTTCCGATCCTGGAGGCAGCTCACAAGCCAGCGACCAAAAAGTGCTACTCAGCGTGCCTCGCCCGCTTCCAGGCCTTCCTCTCCGAGAAGGGCCTAGACGACCATCGACCGTCGGTACCGTCAATTCTCTCGTTCTTGCTGCACCTTACTGAACGAGGCTTGTCGCTATCGTCACTCAAGTGTCACCTGGCTGCCATATCTTGGCAACTTCAGCGGACAGGTGAAGCTTCCTTATTTAAGGAGAGCTCCGTGAGGTCTTTCCTGCGAGGTTTCAACAACCTGCACCCCCCGGTCCGTTCTCCGACTCCGGGTTGGGACCTCGACCTCGTGCTGGCTCGGCTCGCGCAACCGCCTTTCGAGCCATTGGCGTCGATTGAACTTAGGCTCTTGTCATGGAAGGTGGCCTTCCTAGTCGCTATCACCTCAGCCCGTAGGCAGTCGGAACTTGCGGCATTACGGGTGGACGAACCGTATTTTGTTGTCCACGAGGACAGGGCAGTTCTCCGCACAGACGTGACTTTCCTCCCTAAAGTCATGTCCCCCTTCCATGTTAACGAAGACATTGTCCTTCCCTCGTTGTGTCAGTCTCCCTCTACCCCGAGGGAAAAAAAGACTTCATATGCTCGATGTGCGGAGAGCATTACTGTGTTATAGGGACAGGACTGCTCAGTCTCGGATCGATGTGCGGAGAGCATTACTGTGTTATAGGGACAGGACTGCTCAGTCTCGGAGGACTCAGAGACTTTTTGTTGCATATGCCCTGGATAAGGTGGGCTTGCCGATCATGGCGCAACGTTTGTCTCACTGGATCACCTCGACCATCGAGCTTTGTTACCAGCTGGCTCGACAACAACCTCCCTCGGTTGTCCGGGCTCGGTCAACCAGGGCTATGGCGGCATCAACAGCCTTCCTCAAGGGGATTCCCCTGGACGCTATTTGTAAGGCAGCCATTTGGAAGAATCCTCAGACTTTTGTGTCACATTATAGACTGAATACCAGGTATACACCTGATATGGCCTTTGGGAGAGCGATTTTGGGATCGTGCCCGCCTTGAAACCTTGCAAAGTTTTTCCTTGTTGTTTGTCGGTACCATGGACCTCCTCGGTACCGTATATTGTTGTGAATGTTATTACCATGCCTTTTACTTGAATATAACTGTTTACCGGTGCTGGTGAATGTAATTGCACCTTTACACTTGATGCCTTTACTGCCTGAGGCGCAGGCAACCTTGCACTATGGCCTAATGGGCTCATTACGGGTAGTGCTTTGTGTCGCTATCGACACCTTTACCTTACAAATGTGTTTTGCACTTGTTGATAAAACTGTTTTGTGTAACTACTTAATGTGCCCTCATTGCAATGAGTGTCCTCAACAATGACTGCGTTGTCGTTTCCAAGGGTCAAAAGTTTATGTTAATGGTTTAAGAATGCCCTCATTTATTGAGTGTCTTTCACTGTAGATTGGTCACCCTCACGTGGCCGGGAGGATCACGTACTCCCATAAGCTTCATGCACTGTGCCCTTCTTCGGAAGTGATTACAATCTATTGTTGGTAACTGTTTGCACTTAATAAAATTGTTTGGCCCTTGACTTGAATAGTCGGTTTGCCTTCTTCCCGCCTCCGGGACCTGAGCTTGCTAGTCTCCACAAGTGTGCATTCGCAGAGACCACGAAGAAAAATGGTAGGTTACATACCTGTGACCATCTTTCTTCGAGTGGTGCTCTGCGAATTCACCCTAACCCGCCCAGCCTCCCCTCTAGCAAACCTCCAATTTCTCGCTACCGTAGCGGCGTAGGAATTGGATCGGTGCGCGGGGCGCCCTTTTATCCCCTGCCGGGGCTGGGCGGGGTTACCGCCAAAACTTAAAAGTTTTAAAAGTAGAAGTTTCCGTTGGAGCCCGCGCAGGCGCAGTCTCTCCACAAGTGTGAATTCGCAGAGCACCACTCGAAGAAAGATGGTCACAGGTATGTAACCTACCATTATATATATAACATATAATATATAAACATTTCTTGGGGCTCCACGAGAAATGTTTGCTTCAAAAACGGCTCCGTGGCTGAAAAAGTTCGAGAACCCCTGATTTAAAGCATGGAACTGCTCACATGGTTCCATAATGAACATTATGAAAGCACTGACCTTTCACACAGTTTACTAAAACAAACATACTACGTGAACACCATTGTTTTTATCAGTGCTAGACTGATGTAAGAAAAAGGACATACTGAATGCCTCCAAATTTTGTGATGGTATTGCTTTCTATAATCAAAATAATCAAAAATATGGAGAAAGATTTCTTAAAGATACATGTTCCGAAAACTACCATGTAGGCTATCAATGATCAAGGGACAAACAACCAGCCATTTTAAAAAGTAACCTGGATCTTTAACAATGGATATTATTCATGTAGTAACAAGAAACACAGTACACATGTTCTAACTAGGGCTTCCATTTCTAGCTCCTAGCCATTTAGAGTTCAAAGAGTGAATGAGTCATTTTTTACTTTTAAACTATTACCATATTAAGATATTTATGGAAACACTCAGCCAGATATGGAAGCCACACTCGGACTGTTGCGGAATGGCACAAGCTGCAGCAAGAGTAAAATTGTTATTGACCCAGTGGCAATAGGGGAAGGGAGGGAATGTTCTTGTTATTCAGAAAAAAACCCTTGTGAGCTGTATGGCAGCTAGCAGGGGAGCTTTTTCACATGACAACAATGACTGTCTGTATTTCTCCAACTACTACTATATATCCTTGCAAAAATCACAGGGATGTAATTTGGAAGTAATTTTCTTCTTGAGGGAAGCAATGAGTAATTTTAGCATTTTTCTTCCCACTATGACAGGCTTTAAAAACCAAGTGGTTTTTTAAGCCTATTCACAATTTGCAACTTAGTTCCATGCAAAAATACTATCGTCATAGAAAAAGCTGTTTCCTGTGCAAAAAATGTTTGTTTGTTTTTTGTGCAAAAATAACATGTGAATTTTGTGCAGAATACATTCTGAATTGTGAAGATTCCCATCAGTCCAGGAATCTTCTCATTAGGATTTCTTGATACTCAAAAGTATTTTAAAATAATGTTTGAATATATTGTTGAAGGCTTTCATGGCTGGAATCACTGGGTTGTTGAAGGTTTTTCAGGCTATATGGCCATGTTCTAGAAGCATTCTCTCCTGACGTTTCACCTGCATCTATGACAAGCATCCTCAGAGGTTGTGAGGTCACAGTCTCACAAACTCTGAGGATGCTTGACATAGGTGCAGGTGAAACGTCAGGAGAGAATGATTCTAGAACATGGCCACATAACCCGAAAAACCTACAACCCAATGTTTGAATATTTTCTGATATTGTTTCTACCCCCGGGCCAAAGTAGTAGTAGTAGTAGCAGCAGCAGCAGCAGTACTTGTTATCATCGTCATCATCATCATCATCATCATCATCTTTATTTATTCCCTGCATTTCTCCTTATGGGGACTTAAGGAGGTTAACACTCCACACTAGGCAAGTTTAAAAGGTGGAATACAAAAGTTAAAAAGCAATTAAAAAGCTCGGAAATGTTATGGAAGTGTAAATTATCAACAGGAATCCAATAGGTGTAACACACTTTATTGAACACAGCAAAATCTAGATCACCCACATTTAACCCAGCAGTGGTTATTTTACCCAATGTTTTTTCTTAATTGTTCTGTGAATTTCCAGCTCCTCTACCTAAGGACTTGGCATTATCCAAGGACTGTGAAATGATCGCCATATCATCATTCCTTTTACCATTGGCCAGTTGCAGAAAAAAATGAACAGAAATACTTTCTCCTTGGAGATCTTTGCTGTTCTTAGTACATTCCTAATAATTCCCTTTCTCCTTCCCTCCCTTTCCTAGATTCTCACTACAGAAGAAAATCGTTGCTTTACTAATGAACACCCAACTGATGGAAATCACTGCATGTGCACATACACTGAAGTTTGCTCCCAAGAGTAAACAAATACAGCATAGGGGAATTGGGCACCTTGCATGAAACCTCATCAAAGTACTGTCAACCATCTAGAACCAGTTATGAACTCACTGGTTTTAGCAATCTGACCACTTTAGTAGTGGGCTTAGATGACACAGTCCCATCAGGACATGAATCTGCTCTCCCTTTGTATTTACAGCACCCATTTACATAATTAAGATGGAGACTCTGGAAACTAGTGCTCAACATTTAGAAACACAGGATTAATGAATCTGTCACATGAAAAGTAACAACCATAACATATTTTAAATTCTTATCTGCTTTAGAGGTTTAGTTTTTTCTGTAGGTTGGTAAAATAATCAGCATCAGATTAACTCTAGTTGATGAAATGAAATTATTTCAAAACATCTGATATTTTTTACCATTGTCCCACCTTTCAAAACATGTATTAATACACATGGATAATCTGAAAGCAAAAAGAACTTACTTGGTACACCATTGCTAATCTCTCCCAGTCCCGTGATTATACCAGCATCTATGGAACTCATAATTTTATCAATCTGCAAGGAAAAGATAAGAAAAAGATTGTCTGACATTAAGCATTGTTAAATGTTTTTAAGCATGGAAGCAAAATATATAATTTCGTTAAAGGATAATGGCATCACTGCAAACCATACACAGGAAAAATAATAATAATAAGAAACCTTTTGAATGGTTTGCAGAGACCATGAAGAAGAAAGGCACTTCAACCTTGACTGCTTAAGTCTCATTCACTTTAAAATAGTTAAAATATTCATCATATATAATTCCAACCATATAGGAGTCATTTAATTGAATGTAAAGTGCTCCTAATTCAGATCTACAGCTTATATTAATAGAAAAAGTGAGTTGATTGACAAAATAAATAAAGTATTTTCTCTGATCAAAGATTTCACATTGTAAATAAATGCATACTTAATATAACACATTCTAATATTTTAATAGGCTCTATTCTTTTCTATTCTTATACAACGATTGTTAATCAAAAAGTATATATTCTTTACAGAAAGTGCATATGGACTATTTATTTATTTATTTTACAACATTTGTATCCCGCCCATATCAGCCTGAAGGTGACTCAGGGCAGCGTACAAGTCGGCAACAATTAGCTCAATTAACCTGGTTTCACCCAGAACCATTATGCCTGCATATTCTTCTGTTGTACTTTGTTATGGGTAAACTGGTAGATACAGTTGGCTTTTCCTGAAATAACAGAAAAGTACTTTTGTTTGTATTAAATTCTATAATAGTAATAGTAGTAACAACGACAACAACTCTGGATAATTCCTTGAGTTTACAAACTGCTATGGAGGGTATTAGTAGGCTTTCACCTGAAAGCTGCAGCATGCCATAGATTACATCTAGATGACTGATTTCTTGATGGAGATAATATCCATTACGTGTGTGGCTTGGCAACAAAAACCTCTGAATTTGTTCTGTATATTTAGCAGGTATATGGCATATTATATTACAGATTCTTGGGGAGATACAGTCTGACTTTTAATTTTCCTAAAAAGCAAAGCACACTTTTGGGCATGTGCAAAGGCTTGCATATATGCATCCTTTTTGCACTTTCCTGGCAACAGCTCCTGATGCCACATGAAAAATAAGTTTTGAAACTCTTGGCTTTACAACTTCATTTTGAAATATTTTTAAAGAATGCTAGTTTCAAGGGTGGCTTTCTGGAAATGACATGGAAAGCTACTGAGGGGAAAACACATATGTATGTGGACACACCATTAAAAGGTGCAATATGCACCGTGACCACAGAAAACAGTCTCTATACCTATTAGTGTCTTCTTTTCCCATTAAGCACAATATATCTACTGTGATTATGGTAAGAAGAAGCCCAGGCAGGGATCTTTCTCAGCCCTTGCTACCTAAGGTCCTAACACAACACAGTTTTAATATTTCATATATGAATCCCTGTATTAAAAAGATAAAAACTTACTTCTTCCCACTCAGAAGTAAATGATGGTGTTCTTTCAGATGCTCCTTTGGAGTTTTCAGGGTCTGGTATAGATTCATTCCAATTTCTTCTTGCTTTTTGTTCAGTAGGTGGATAGGAAATAAGGTTAGAGTCAGATTTTGAAACATATTTGGATAAATGCATGTCAAGAAGAGTCTTTGGCAAAGATCTTATTCTTCCTAGCGTGCAAGCACGTTCCACAAACCCTGCAGCATTCACAATCCATTGATCCCCAGTTCTTGTAATGCCAGCCAGTGTTTTAGTTTCTCCTAGATTATTTTTTGAAAGAAATACAGTTCTGTTTGAAACAAGTGGTTTTTTCTTTTTAATTGGAGGGTCAGTGCTGCATTCTTGCTGTAACTGCATTGGATTCAAAATACTCAGGTTCAAGCTACTGTCATTATGTAATTCATCAGATGGGCTTGCTTTTCTGTATAGCTGAAGTGGATTATCAGGTGGGTCACAAGCAGGTGATGATCCATGAAGCAGACCAGCAAACTGCTCAGAAGGATAGGCTTCAAGATGCTCACTTTCAATTGATGTTTGCTGGGTTCCTGTAAAATATAGTATTCCTTTCAATTTACAATTTTAATCAAAAACTTCTCTACAATATAAACAGAATCTTTAACTGCAATGTGTCTTCAATATATTGGATTGGGTACATTGTGAAATGGGAACCACAGTGGTATGGTTGTTTGAGCGTTTGACTATGACTCTGGAGAGTTAATCCCTGCTCAATGATGGAAACTCACTGGGTGACCTTGGACAAATCACACACTATCAGCCTCAGAGGAAGAAATGTTGCCAAGAAAACCCTGTGATAGGTTTGCCTTAGGGTTGTCATAAGTCAAAAATAACTTGAAGGCACACAAAACATATGATCATCCCAACAACACAGCCCAGAATATCATGTTTTAGACCTTATAAACCCCCCACTATAGTCAACACTATAGCCTTCTAAGACTTGAAAAACTAACTAATCTATTATGGCACAATATTTTTTGAATCTAAAGTCCACTTTATCAGATGCACAAGTACAACTCTCATTTGGCAGATACATCTATGCAGACAGCTGAACAGAACTAATAGAGAATTGGATAACATTGATGAAATGGGCTTGAGTTGATTAATACTTATGCTGCAATGCAATTGCTAACCTTCAAGATACAACACTTCTCTGTGTATGAGAAACTATTAACATGCCCCCTCTAGAGTTTTCCCCATAGCTAAGGAGGCCAAATAGCCCTCCTACACTGACCAAATAATGCATTTTGAAGCTGACTTGGCCAATATGCACTGCTGCAGGCATGTAAGGATTCAACCCAAAAATGTGCTGGAGCAGATGCCAGTGTACACCAGATCCAGAGCTAAATCGTCCCCACAAAATGTGGAGCACATTGTAGACACCTGCCCCTACTGAGGCACGGTAAAGAATCCTGAATGTGGGCTGCTAAAAAGCATCCCAAGGGAATAACTGGGCAGGAGTGGGCTAATCGACCGCCTGGAAGGGGGAATTGGTTACTTTCACTGCTAACTGTCACTCTCCCCCCCCCAATGTGTATGTCTTCTGTATAATAATTTGCAGGAAATTGGGGGGGGGGTCTGCAAAGTGGTTTGAAACCAGGTTTCTTGGCAAATGTAATAAACTTCTTGGTCTCAAACCAGTTCCAAGCTGGATTGTAGTATCAGCACAGGAACATCCTAATAGGCCCAAGGCAAGCCAGTATTTATTTATTTAATTTATTTACAGTATTTATATACCGCCTTTCTCACCCGTGGGGGAACTCAAAGCGGTTTACACATAAATAATGGCAAGATTCAATGCCTTATGTTGGGCACCAATACGATGCCAATACAAACAATTACAATAGTAAAACCACAATTATTTTGCGTAGAGGCCACATTGTGGGCCTGACCAAGAGGGCCCGACCAGGAAAGGGCCTGTGAGAAGGTGGGACTGGAAAGGGGTGGGGCAGGGGGCACTTCATCCTCAGGTAGTCCTCCTGGCATAAGGATGCAGCTGCTCACTCCATTCTTATGCTGAGAGGGAAACAAGACATGGGGCGTCTGCCCCGATCCTTCTCTCCTGATATTCAGGTTGCCCTGTCGGTATTATGGCAATGGCTGAGAATGCTCCAGAGAGCTTTCAGCTGCTGTGTCCCTTCCTCAGGATGTGCTCTTGGCATAAGGTCAGGACTACTTGCACCATCCTTATGCTGGGAGGAAGGTGTGACATGTGGTGCCTGAGAGTGTTCCAGAGGGCTCTCAGCTACTGTGTGCCTTCCTCCCCTATCCTTTCTGCTTAAGGATGAGGCAGGTTACCATGTCCTTATGCTGAAAGGACAGGGATAATGAGGAAAGCCGGAGGTACGTGCCCAGGAAGCTGCATTCGGCCCCCGGACTTTAGTTTGTCCATACCTGTCTTAGTTTATAAGGAAAGGCGCGTGTATATATATATTTAAAAATAGAAATAAAAACCTCTTCAAAAGTGTCATCATAAATAGTCAGCACATGAGATACGGTTTAAATAAGTCTCATCCAGGCTTTGATGCACTATTAATACAGTTAAGCCTGAACCTTTAAAAAAAAAAACCTCAAAAACCTCCCTTTAAAGGAAGATACTTTTTCCAATGGAAGAACACAGCAATGTACTCCTGCCCAATTTAATTTGTTTATTTTTTTTTAAAAAAACCCATTTTGAAATGAAAAACAGAAAAACATTTCCCTTCTAAGGTATTTTTAAAATTATAATTTATTCTCAAGCCAAATTTGCTAATTGACTCATTCTTTTAGGAGTTTTAGTAATGAAAAGCTTTGTGGCAGCATGTAACATGTATTTTGTGTTACATTTTGCTTTTCAAACAGCACCAGCTTTTGTTTTCCTATTGCCTCCTATCCTCAAATTGCAATTTTGTAAGCATTGCAAATAAAAACAAAATGGCTTGCAAGACAATCAGCGCTAATCTATACACTGGCAACACAGAAACATCATCACAAAAACAAAAACATGTTTTTCTTTTGTATTCCATTCTCCAGGGTGTATGTGTTGCATCAGACTAAAATCCCTACTTCTGAATATGACACACACATGCATCAGATACAGTTGAATATTTGAATCAAATACTAGACACAGTTGAATACAATACTAAAATACGAAAAATGATATTAAATACTGCCACTTTCTTTGCTGTTAGAATTGGCAATAAATGAATTTTTCTCCATTCTAGAATAAAGATGTGCATTCACCACATACATGAATAGATTCCTTAGATGAGTAATATTTGTAAAAAAAAAAAAAAGCCTTAACATGTAGTGAATCAATTATAGCTAACACATTATATCAATAATAAGCACTGCAGTTGCCATAGCAAGAGAACCTCATGTAGAATAAAACCTCCAGCTTGAAATGTGTGCCATAGCTATGGTAACAAGCACCTGTGCTACAAATCTATTTAAATTCTATCTTTGATCCAGGAAGAAATTTTAGTGATACATATCTAGAATACCAATCTATAAATGTAACACCAGCAATAATTGCTGTATATTCTCTGTAGTGATTGACAATCAACAATGAGGAGAACAGCAGAGTATTTATCAAGTCTCTGATGCTTTATCTCTGAAGGTTTACAAAAGGGTGGGGTTGGGCTGGCGGAAACTATTTTAAAATATTTAATAATGCTCTTCCTGAAAGCATTCCAATATATAGCAAAGACCTTTGTATTTAGATAAGCCTTTGCTGCTTAAATTTAAGTGATGCTTATTGCACTGTCTGCCATATCATTGCTCTGCATTTCTATTGCATTTTATGCAGTTTTATAGTATGCTTTGATTGCTTTCAGTTGTCCTTTTTCAGTTCATTTTGAACACTGTGAAGATACTAGAAAGGATGGATACTACAAAACAAGTGAAAAAAAACTTATTAGCCTAGAGCAACAAAAGAAAGCAGGATGACACATTCTATAGAAAAGAACATTCACCACTCTTCTCTAAATAACAACATGACTGCAACGTGTCTCTCTATATATTTAGATAGCCTATTACTTTGCATGCAAAGGAAGACCAAAGACAATAAAAATAACGTAGTGGGGTAATATACTGGAGAAAAAAATCAAAATTTTCAGATTTCAGTTTAAGTGTGATTATTAGGATTGATAGAAAATTTGAAAACAATGAAACCCAAATGAGTAAAGGAGCTTCCAGGAAATACAGAATGTTTGATGACAGTTTGGCCTATGGATATTACTATAACAAAGCCTTTCATGTATTTTTGGACTGTGATTCCCATGATACCTCACTAAATCGTGGCCATGAACATTACGGCTCCTAAGATCTGAAGCTCAAGAAAAACTTATAGGTCACAGTTAGGCAACTCTGGATTAGAATTGTGTGTAGGTGGAATATCCAGATTTGCCAAAATAAAATGCAACCATATCATCCAACTATATACTGCCTTTAATCTGTCCTAGTCCCTTCTCCTCTCACTTTTCCCCTTTGTTCTGGTAGAATGTCTCGGGGTTCTGTCCTGGGCCTGGTGGTAACCACTTTATAAGTAGTTTGGTAATCTGCAGATGGCACCAAATGGGGAAAGGGATAGGCGTGAAGCCTTGGCTCTGCCTTTTCCTCTTTTTTGCTTTAGTTCCCTCTGTTTATAGGTTTTCCCAATAGTGTAGATACCTTCCTTTGTATTAGTTTTTGGGTGGAGCATAAAACCCCTATAGGCCAGCCTTAATTGGTCTATTCCATTTGCCTGTATAGAGCTCCTTTGCTGGACTCCTTTTTTTCTGCAGCAGAGCTACAGTGAACAGAGGTTTGGGCATTGTCTGGTAATCCTAGGCCCAAGCAATCAAAAAACAGGCATCCTTAGTTCCTGCATTTAGCAGTATTCTTATACCATCAGTCCCAATGACAACAGAAGCTTTTGACCAGCTTAAGTTTCACAAGAAAGAAGATTGAGACAACTTATAAGCAACAGCTTGTAAACCATCACTTTGTACCAGAGGCAGAAGACACCAGAGAGATGACTGCAAACAGCAAAATCTTCTTTTGTAATGTATTGTTTTAAGCTACCTTATAATAGTCTCAGGTGGAGTTAACCCTTTATTCATCTTGTTTTCAGTAAACTCATTTTGATTATCTTTGCACCTTGCCTAAAGTGCCTGTGTGTGTTGAGAGTCTCAATCTTAACAGAAGGTATACAGATAGCCCCCTGAGCAAAGCCAGACACTATAGTTTGTCCAAAGGCTCAGGTATGTCATCACAGGTAGGTAATATCCCAAGGACAGGAATAAAGAAATTCCATTCTGCCGACAACCACAGCATGACTTAATGACATTTTTATGATATCACTTAAGCGCTTTAAGTTTAAGCTGATCCAGGACTCATAGGTCTACTGTTTTCCTCCAATTCCCTTTACAATGGGTGAGAGCACCCAATTTGGAAAAGGAAAATGATTGTTCAATTACTTTCTGTGAAGCAAGTAATTTGATCTGACAAATTTCTCTAACAAATTAAACATGTAGGAGGACTGAGTATGTAATATCTGTTGACTGAATTA